CATGCGTGTATGGCATACAGGAGAATCTTTTCCGCTCTCTGTGATGAATAATTTAATGAGACAGATTGATCAACTTTTAATATCAGACTAGTACAAAGTGTTATCCTTAGATGAATACACACTATTAACAGAATTTTTCAAAATTTGTATTGGTGTTTTGAGGCAACAATTTTCATATATAAGGTTGTGATTTGAGATTGAACAAAAGTTTAAATAACGGTAGTTAGTTAGATAAAAACTTCACTAGCTTATTCTAAATTGAATGTTTCGTTGACCTTTTTAAGGTCAACTTGTCTTTTTAGTTAATGGGGTTGAAGAGCTTACATACCTATCTGAGGATCATATTTGGGATTTACTTGAAGCTCATACAGATAAATTTGAAAAGTCGGTAACATAATCAGGTCACAGGTGCCTGAACATCATTATGATTGTGAACCGAGTGAGATTACTGAAAAAGGTGATGTAATTCAGATCATTTATTTTGTTAATGAAGGATAAACAACAAAAATGACCATTTGTATTAAAACTTCTTACAATTTTTTTCGCTGAACTATTTTTGTTAACTGTAAGACTAAGAATTATTACGAAAGGTCTACTGGATGGATAATTATGTTTATAAAATGTGCGTGCCTTTCATTTCTTAAAATGTCCCCCCTCCATAACTGTTAATTTCAATAATTCATTACCTTTTTAAAATATTTATTGTTCTGTTCTCGTTTACATTTAATTTTTTAACATGAAATGAAATAGTTACCCACAAATATGCTAATGTATCCTTACTTTACTTTAAGGAGTTTGATCGTCAACAATCTTTCCGTGTACATGAAATGTTCGAGGAAATCGATCGGATTTTATTTGATAACCCGAATCTAGATCTACAAGATTCAATACTGAGGTATACATCAATAACAACAAATGTTGACGATGAACCGTCTCAGCATATGAATACTTCAAATATTATCAATTCACATTCATACACGGATGATTATAATTTAATGGGTTTAGATAATTTTGGATTATTATCTTTAGATTCAATTGAAAATCGAAACCCACGTAAGCCATGTTTTCTTTAAATCTAAAAATCTATTTAATTTTTCTTTTTCTTGTGCAAACTGTACAAAAAGTAGATCAATGAGTGTGCAAACCTTATTTGTTGAAAATATCTGTCCAGCACAAGGATTTTGACAAGAAAATATTAATGTGAATCAATCATATCTCATCAGGCTCAACGTGGCTATATAATTCGATTGACAGGAATAACTTTACTGCATTTCATTATGAGTTTGATTTTAGTCTCTTGAATATCCCGTAATTTCGAGCCAGTATAGTATATTGCCTATTTATTAATAATCTATTTTATTGATGGTTAAAAAGTTCACTCCATAAATTCTATTCATTAAAAACCTTGGAAAAATATACAATCCTCTCTAAGCACATCAGTTTTTTCATATAAAATACAGTTGTATATCTTTTGAAAGTGACATTGTCTGAAAAATTTCCTTCTCTAAATCATATTTCGTTCTTTAGTTAAGTTTATGAATTCGATTTATAATTGTATTTAATGCCTAGTAGAGGTTTTAATCAGCTTTGCTCAGTAAAAATGATATTTATTTATCTATTTACCAGTTTTATTGATTTCATGTCGGGATGATTCTAAAGTCATATGTGTGGTAAATTCCAATCACTTTAGAATAACTGGCATAATTCTAAACTTTACGTTAGTTTAGCAGCTTTGAAGATATTCTAACTTAGACCCCAAATGTTTACTGAAGTAAGTACCGTGAATTGACGAATAATCGAAAGCAAATAATTACTACACACGTTTTCGCTCTGTTACAAGGTAAACACTAAAGATTTTTAGCTCAGTTAGCTAGAACACCGAAAGCATTCACTCTTTAGTAGTTTTACGTCTTGTAAAAAGTAAGTTCAGTCGTCCATCCTTAATTCTAGAGTTATTTTAAACATTATTTTACTCTTATGATCGTTCTCAAAAATTGCAGTAATAAATGCATTTTATTCTGGGTTTCGTGTAAATTAAATTTTCCTTAAATCATGCTATCAATATCGATTATGCACCAGTTAGGCTACTCTGAATTTTAGCGGATGAAGCGTAAAAAGTAATTGTAATTCATAGTTGTATATTTTCGTGATATGAGTACAAACAAGGATTCAACATACAATCAATTAGTGGATTTGATACTGAATATTTAAAATGGGACGGAAAATTATTATAAGAGGGATAGGGCGCGAAATAAGTGATTAGAAGTAATTAAGATTGATATATATATATATATATATATATATATATATATATATATATATATATATATATATATATATATATATATATATATATATGCTGTCACTGAAACAAAAGAACCAAGCAATAAAGGTAAAAGTGTTTCAAGGGAATCACTTTAATTATCATTATAATTCTTCACTTATCTATGCTTACTGTACTTAGTTAATAATAATAATTAAGTTTTATCTAATGAGTATTTCCCAATGCATCAGTTTGCTTGGAATTAAACTGCATTTTACTATTGGCTAACTTAATGAATGGATTTATAACCATACGTTTCTTTCAACCAATTTAGCCGGCTAGCCGTGTTCATTGTGATGGCCTCTACTTAGGCATCTGTTACGCTTGGATGCTTTTAATTGGCAATGATTTTATGGGACTTTACACATAAAACCACTCGTTCCGTTATAAATTTAAAGCAATCTGATCACACACTTACTTGTATAAATATTTATATACGAAAAGTGTCCTTATTTTCCTTAACTTCTAATTTATCTAGTGTAGCCTTCATTTTTCATACATGTCATAGCAAATAAGTGTGTGATAAGATTATTGGAAATGCATTGTGTTAATATACCACATAGTTCTGATAAACCTTTTCTTGTCGTTCCATGATCTACATTTCTATGCTATGGACAAAGTATCTTGAAGTCCTAGCATGGGACTCCTCAGCAGTGCGCATCCACGATCCCACACCCTGCGGGATTTGAACCCATAACCTATCAGTCTCGCGCGCGAGCGCTTAGCCATTAGACTACTGAGCCGTTGCCAGTGGAGTTCAACCAGGTCTGTTGTGAGACATCAACTCATTGAAGACAATAGTTTACGGTGACGCAACTTCGTGGATTGGTTGAAGTTAGACATTAACACCGTTGGATGCCGGCTCAGTGGTCTAGTTGGTTAAGCGCCTGGCGCGAAACTGATAGGCCCTTTGTTCGAATCTCGCAAATTGCGGGATCGTGGATGCGCACTGCTGGGGGGTCCCACGCTAGGACCAAACGGCCGTCCAGTGCTTCCAGGTTTTCCATGGTGGTCTAGTTTCAATTGACTCATGATTTCAATCAGTGAAATATTTATTCATTTGGTAAGTTGTAAGAGTTATCGCATAATCATGTCAAATCAATAAAAGTTTTTTTTACAGCAATCTGAAAAAGCCTTATTTTAATGATCTTTACTTGTTATCAACAGGAACTGGTATTCAATCCAGAAAAGTAACCTGAATGAAAAAGTTATTCGACATAAAATTTTAGGATATAAGTTTACGTTAGAAAGTGATGATTTAGTTGACATTGAATGCTTTTCTCGAAATTATTTTAATAAATTAGAAAATATGTAAATAGGTTAATAGGTATTGTTGTTTTCTCAGTGTAAATGTACAAGAATTCATGATTAATTAAAAAAACAAAGTATATATCAAATATTTTGATCAACATGGGAGTGGAAATTCATTTGGGTTGTTAAAGACACAAAGCAATAAATATACACCCTTATTGTACATATGTTTTGTAAATAGAAAGAAGTGAGAATCTATTTTGTCAATTACTCTGAAGGTCGACAAATGTACACAGTAACGTAACAGTTTCAAGCAAGCATGTTTTAGATTTTCAACAGTGAAGCAAAATATTTGGAACAAATTAAAGTAATATTTTATAATCAATAAGCTAAAGAGCATGAGCGACTCTAGAAGAAAGAGATCTTAAAGTTCACATAAAGCTGTATATCTCTGACAATTGGTTATTCTTTACCATTATCAGAACTTGTAACATAATACATTATTTTATTAAATTCCAGTAAGGATAACCTTATATTTATTTGGTTTATATTGAAAATCAATTATGGTCTTACATTCTGTCATGTTCATGACAGCTTAACTTTTCTCTTTGCCCGATGTATAAAAATCCAGTTCATTCTGAAACTTTTACCCATTTATTGCAGTTGATACTAGGAAGTTTTGTTGCAAACTTTAATAGATTTTTTTGTAAATACTAATATTAGCTGAATGACTTGTGGTGTAAAATTCGAAAAATTTTTCTCTAAATTTAAAATAAACCATTATTTGTCTGGATATTCTGTGTTCAAGGTGTATTGATACCTTTGACATTGATTAAATGACTTACTTTTTCCCGAATGTTCATTGAAGTTTATTAAAAGTAAATTTGTAAATAGTGTTTATCAGGTTTGATAACGAGCTCATACCACATTTCTTGTCAGGTTCTACGTTGTCTATTATTAATTGATTAACCATATACCATAAACTTTTTTGGTATTTTTTCGTACCAACTATGAAATATCTACGTATCAGCTGATTCTTGTGCAGATTAAGATTTAAAAAAAACATTATCAAACGGAGTAGGAAAAATGTGACATCTCATTGAGAACGGTATTAATAAAAATCGGTAAGTATTTTCAATAATGAAATCAGTAGCCAAGACTTTTAAATCGTGAAATATAATTGTTTTATTTTTCTAGACTCATTAGTCAATAGTTGCCTATTTTATGTAGAACCATTCTGAACTAAATTTGACGCTTTCTAACTAACAATTTCGTTTAGCTTATGAATCACAATCTACCTTGTGAAATTTTAAATATTTCTTGGATTATTTAGCCATCTCATTCTGTTCATTATTGAACAACATCTTACTATAGTCATGAGATTTTTACCAAACCTTTGTAATATCTCATTTTACAAAAAAGACAATTTTATGAGTAATCATATCGTTAAAATGCAGTATTTAAATAAACTAACTAGCATTACAAATCCTACTTAGTGATAATACCGAAGGAATTTTTATATACTAGTAACAAATAATTCCGCATCTACTTCGTAACAGATATTAAATCATATTCTAAAATATATCGATGTCTAACATATATGACATTGTTTCTAAATTGTCCTCTTGTCTATTGTGCTAAATCATGAATTAATAACTGAGATATTTTATTTTGGATTATCAACCGATAGATTAATCTGTAAACATTATGATATTTTGTATATTGTCGATTAGTGACTTTATCCCAGATGCTAGTTTATATAGCCCCTGAGTTATATTATTATTCAATTAAATATAATATAAACTGAATGAAAACCATAGACACTGTTATAGATTATTAATAGTAAGAAGAAGAAACATAAGAATAATGAAAGATACAGTATTTGGCATTAGATAAATTTTATTTTAATATTAAGCCACTCATACTCAAAACTGACCCAGACCATTCTTTTGTTATAAAGATCTATTTTCACCATCTCGAAATCACAACAAATAACTGTTACTTTATCAAATTTAAATATAACTGAAAATAAATATCATACATAATTTAGACATTTACAAACATGAATTTTCCTGCATAGATAATTTATGTGACAATAGTCAATATAATCACTAATTAATTTATTGTTTACGGTACATTTAAGGAAAATAAATTAGTTTTGTTGAATAATTATTTGAAATTTACAAATTTTGTTTTAAACTAAGTCAAAGTAAACATTCGTTCTCTCTTGTTATGTTAAGTGCAGTGTATGTATTTAGTTTGTTTGAAATGATTAATAGAAAAAAAAGTTATTATTTAAGTAATTTGTTTGTTTGTTTTTCTTTAATCAAAATATTTTTACAGCTTATCAGTATCCTGATCATTTTAATTCATCAGTTACCAACTGTATAAATAGTAATCCTTGTGGAATTCAAGATCATTTATTTTATGAATGTAAAGACTGGTTATCTCGATTCCCACATTTACGCGTTGTTGGTAAACAAATAAAATTTTCTGATGAAAATAAATCTACTTTTCATCATGATGATAGTGATCTCATATCAGGTAGAAAATATTATTTATTTATTTATTACTTCAGTATTTGATTTCTAAAACCAGCAATACTATGAATTTTCACTAGAAAATATAGGTAAAACGTCTTAAGACGAAAACTAGTTTTCATAAAATTATGCTTGGACATAGTTACAAATGAAAGCTTCTCCGATTACTTTACATTTAATGTGTAAATGTGTGTTGTGAAGGTTCTTGTATTAGGTAAAAGCCACAACGATATAACATTTTGCTGTTGGTTTCAGTAGCTTGCCTCTGTAATGATGTTTTCAGACAGCAAGAGTTTCATGAAAGCCTGTCATTGCTTATTTCGGTTACCTACCTATCAGGATTTATATGGGTTCCCCCCTGAAATAATAAAAAAACATACACTTCGAAACTTTTTTCTGTTTGCCTTATAATAGAAGTCATAGTGTAACAATGATTCAGGATAGAGAAATAAGGGTATATACAGAGTTGTGGCACCGGGTTTTAGGGATAGATTATAGGGTCAATTTTTCAATGTCCCGGTTTTAAGCATTACTATTTACCACTATTTGATGTCAGCTTCATGTACATTTGTTTAGTTTTGTGGCTAAAAGCAAACTAAGAATTTGCCCATACGGACAAATCTATTTTTTTTAAAGTCACGTAATTTCGCTACCATTGTTTGTCTTCTTGATGATCACTTTACTTCGTACACCTTAAAGTATAAATTGGTGGTAATCAACAAGGAACCTTGGACCTAAATTTTCTGCCGATAGATATTCTTCAGTAAGCTGTACCTATAATCTTGAGGAGACTGATTCTCTCTGACACACTCGATCACATACCACACAGCTTCACAATCACAGATTGCCACTGATCTATCTGGTCTCGGCTGACCTCCTGTGGGACTAAGACGTATTTACAATTGGTTGATCACTGAATAGTGATTACTGTCATGTATATCAGGCAATTCTTATTGGATTTCTAATTTTACCTATCATGTTGCGATGTGGCCACTAGTCAAGTGACTCGGCAACGCGTGGATCATGTTAAGATGTAAGGTGGTGCTTAGAGGTAGTTGACAGAAAACTCTAGACCTGGGTTTCGTGCTGTTTGACACCCACCAGCAAGGTGTGTGTATAATCTTGAATAAAATGATGCTCCTTTGCGGATTTGACCCCATGTCAAAGTATAACACAGATCGCATTCTGAAAGGAATCTGGAAGTTGTAAAACCCCGCTTATTCAGTCAATTGGAATTTATGGCAATAACAGAAAACACCGATATCAAATATTATTAAGCACTCCGACTTGCTGAAATCTAGAATAAATGTGTACACTCAAAATGCAGATGACCAATAAGAAGCTATCTTCTAAATTATACCTTTACTTCAAGTTCATGATAAGAATTTTGTAAGCAGTTGTTGAAATTCATTACAGCCAGCGTAGTTTGTCCTTGCTTTCTATGATTAGTCGGTTTGGAAGTTCTAGGATTACTATAAAATGGTGCATGCGGATATTCCAATTTAGAGATTATTATTCGTCTTCATTGGCATTGGGTTGTATTTCTGTCAGTTATAAAGCGTTTTCGTCTCATGAGCAAGTATTTCGTGAGCCAGGTATATCTGATTTTTATTCGTAGAATTAAACATTTATCAAAACTTTAGTGTACAACGTGATATATTTTATACTGAACCTCCACAGAAGCACTCGAGAAAATGACAACAATCGTCTCATACCAAATGATCGAGATGAGTTTTTTGAAGTTACATTTAGATGCCTATGATACAGTAACTCACAAATGACATCACATGAAGCTATAGCATGAATTGGCTGAAGTTAGAAGTGTGATTTAGTGGATTTTAATATAGTTATTGTATTTCTGAAATAACCTCAAGGTTCTGGTCTCATAGGTACCCACTACTAGGCCATCTAACAATTAGGAAGCAACAGCTAACTACCGCTCTATAGTTTTCAGTAGTCCTCCAACTAATATTAGTTCACAAGTACTGACAATTATTTTTAAAATTATTTTATTATTTTTATTCTCAAAGTGCATGTTAAAATAATGATATTTTGTCAGATTCTTTTTTGACCGTAATGGAACTTATTTTGACAAGTGTCTCAATATCAAACTGTCATCAATTCATATTATTTATTTTACATAACGCTTATTTTAAATTTTTATAGAGTTCTCTAACATGATTAACGTATCAAGCACAAACGTGGATACATCTCTGAATATGAAGAAAGTCATCACTGGCAGAAGGTTAAATCATATACAGTAAGCTGGTTTTGTAGGCCTTGTATACATATTTATTACTGTTATTATCCCACCCCTACATTAAGGGAGACCACATTTAAATTTCTTCAGAATTTGGATGCCTCTATCTCAAGGATGAAAAACTAAAACTAATTTCCTTGTTGAAATCTAGTTATAATATTTTATTTCAAGTTTTCCTTATCGTCCTCATACAATTTTAACCTTTTCGTTAGATGTTTGAAGTTCTGTATGGACTTAAAATGGTATCAGCTATTCGGCAATGTTACGTAATTAGTGATCCTTCGCAAGTACTAATAAACACACACAGTTTTAATTTGCTATAATTATCATGCCTTGTGTTTCGTTTTTAAGAGGTTTATTTGATTCCTTTTTCAACATCTAAAATAAAAAGACATTTGTATTACTGTTCTTATTATGTGACATAAATGATTGCTCGCATTTCTCAGTACTTTTTACCGAATTAAAATTCGCTGATTACATTCTAGTCGCTTCACGTAACGATAATGTAATATGTGTGAGAACCAAAGTGCTCTTCCATCTTTTAATTGATAATTCGTACAGTGCATTCGTTCACTTGTTAGTTTGATATTTGTGAGAAAGACGGTTGACTGTACTGGAGAACACACAAGTTAGTCAGACACAACAATTTGGGATCTTCAAGGTTTTTGTGTTGATTTATATAGAGAAACTTTATACCAGGAGGGTGAAGAGAAATCAACAATAGTCGAAAATATTTTTGAAAATTTCCAAGAGATAACAAAGAATATTAGAGCTCTTATACTCTTTGGTTTTCGATATCGAAAAGAAAATAAGAGAAATAGAAAGGATTTTGTAAAGAGAGGAAAAATGGTGTTGTTTAGAAATTGAAAAATAAAACATTGAGGACGTACTTACTATGCTAATCGATATTCAGTCACGTGATTTAAAAGTACGTCAGTTTAAGTAACCTGTTACAGATATGATATTTCATCAATGTTCCCCCCTATTGATTTTTAGATATATGACTGAATTACACTCAAGTACACCATATGCATATGTATCTGTGGAATTCAGAAGCCCTACCATTGAGCTTGTTCGTAACATTTCGAACTATTTTCGAAGAAACACCCTACGGACACATTTAAAATATGTCTTACAGTAAACTACTTATGAAGACTTGTCCGTAATAAGCATTAAAAAACAACTAGATTTCCTGAGAATATGTGAAAACGAAATATAGTAACTTTGATTACTGTTCATCGTCCATATTCAGTCAAGGACTTTGTGAATGAACAGTACTGCTTTTTTTAATGCAATATCATTGTAATTGTTTTGGGTGACTAACTTGTATTGTACGGATTAAACCTCTAGCTGGAATTTTGATATGATAATAACAAGCCAGTTGATATCTACAGTTTAATTGGTCTATTTATTTTTTTCTCCATAGAAGTGAAATGGGGAAGATTGAAGAACATCTTTCTAATCCACCAACATCCACTAACTGCATGGAGGAAGAGATATTCGCTATAGATGGTGAGTATGAAGAATATATGGATGGTGTAACCGTAAGCAGGTGAGTATTTATTGGAATATGAGTTAGAAATGCTCATGTTTACATGACAACATATTACGAACAGAGTTGTATCTAAAGTAATATTTACAAATGTTTCCGAAAAAATTTTATTTGAACTAATTTTCCTTACCCTTTCTATTAATAAGTAGTTTACTTATAAAACCACAAAACCTCTTTGATTATCGCTTCGAAAACATCAGTAAGAAAGTAGTCAGAACTTATGTCGAAGAAATATCTGACTGAAACTATAAACTACTTCACAGGTTGAAATTCGGGTACAATGTTTCGTAATCTGTTTTCTGTACGTCGTATTTTATTTTCAGTCAACATTCATGACTAGGAATCTAGTACACATAATGGTGAATTGCTACTGAGTTGCATTGTTCACTTTGTTGCAGTTTTATGAACTGAAAGTTTAGAGGATACCTGTATCGTCATTAAAGTTTCCATTCCATTAAGTAATGTCTGTTTGAGAGATTAAACCATAATAAACATTTTCCACTCATAGAGTATTACTTTGCTGTTTATGAAAGGATTGATCCTTATTGCTCTCACTAAAGATAAACACGCTAAAATTTGCTTAGCTTTTCATGTGTCAAGTGGTTTTAATGCTTTTATGGGAAGTGAGAAGTAATGGACATGGATGTCATATTATTTGGTATATCAGACCTAACATTTTCTAGTGTTAGCTTTAACTGTTGTCATCGCTTTAGTTCGAACAGATAATCACTATCTTTTTAGAACACATTCCTTTAGTAGATAGAAAGAACTTAGTAAAAAGTGTCTAGATGTTATGTAGTTTAAAAAGTTCTTTATGTTTCACATTTTTCATCGTTCTTTATCAAGTACAAATTTTATTTGTTCAGGTAAGCTAAAGCGTACTAAATTACATCACATATACTATATCTTTTCTTCGGACGAATATGGAATGTTAAAGTTGCAGCTTATTTCTGCTGTGATTCATTCTTGTTGTTAATATTGGTACGATTGTGTTTCAGTTGATTCTGTAATGGATAAATTTGTCATCACATTATAATTTCTTAAACATGTTTTGCAGATAATTAAATGAAGGAACTAATTGTAAACCATATTGTCCATCTACGTGTTTTTTTTAAAAATTCATTACCGTATGTCCATACCTAGACAACGATAAATATTTAAAATGAAGACATGTATCGCCATTGTTGTTATTTTTCATAAATTCCTTAAAATGTTAATAAATTCTTTGATTTAAAGTACATATTTCATCTCCCTTATGATGAAGGCAAGGATATTAATGTACAAAGATCAATAATTGCTTTATTAATTAACCAATAAAAACGCATCACTACGTAATCTAGTTTTGTTAGTTGTATTCAGTGACACTATAAATTATTTTTCTAGAGGAATCAGTTGAATAAGAGATGTCCATGTAAGTTTTTAACCTAAAGGGGGGAGGCAAAGAATATATTTTGTTTTACTAGAATTTGCGAAATCAATACTAACTACTATTTCCCTCAGTGGTTCTTATCTGCATCTAAGATTATTCTCTGATTTTATATCGTTAATTTATATAATTATTTGAGACTTCTCAAGCATATCATTGTTTAAATGGGATTCGTCATTTCGTTGCTTAAACTTTTAAATGTATATATATCTGAAGGTGATTTTCACCACTAACTGTTGTCAGCTGACAAACTGTTGAAAACCAGAAATTAGATTATAATTCTGCCTTAGTTTTGAAGCTCTTCATTCTGGATACATGTAAATCCAAAAGAAGTAGAACCCAGAAAATTCTGATCCCGCAGTAATCAAGACAGTGATGAGTTGGGAATGGCATTGCAATGATTCATACCTCCATCTTTACTGAATTTTATGTGACACACCAATCCATACCGAATTTCATTGGTGAGTAACTACTTCCATCTCAAATATGGTATAAAAAAATCACAACGTCCATCGAGAATCTCAGTAAAATCATTTATATGCCAGTAAATAGTTTTTCGGCTGACGTTAACTCATTATGAAAACTGCTAACTTACATAACTCCTGAATATGATCATTCAACAGAAACATTTTTTATGAACGAATAATTTTTCAGACTTATGCTTTAGGTATACTTTATTTGAAACATAATTTGTTGTACTGCGATATTGAGTACATGATAGCTGTAATTGATGGAACAAAACACAGAGAACAGTATTTGAAATAGCTGGAAAAAAGAACTACTTCACTTTTTTTAAACGCAGTTTTCTATAAGACTCTTCATAGAGATTCTTTCACATTTACATAAGAAATTCATGTGTTCTTTTATAGTCAAAACTGTATAAAGGTTAATCCAAATTTTAGAAAAATTAATTATACCCTGATGCTCATTGAAAGACATATCAGACAAAAAGAATTTATCATATTTACATTAACAAATTATATTTAATATTTTTAACTGAGTCACAGTTTATTATTTGTTTTACTAACTAAAGTTTAGATATTGTGAATACTTTGAATGTTCACATTCTAATATATTTACATTTACAAATAATTAAAATAACCCATAGTGTCATTGAATAAATCCCGCGAGATGGGATCGTGGATGCGCACTGCCCAGGAGTCCCACGATGGGACGAAACGGCCGTCCAGTGCTGTCAGGTTTTCCATGGTGGTCTAGCTTCAATTGACTCATGATTTCAGCAATTGAAATTACTAAAATCTCCACAAAAAATCCCCTTCTGATAAAAAAGCTTGTATAAAAACTTGTATATCTGTCAGTTGGACTAATATCTGACCCATAAACTGTTTTCTTCCTTACCCCTCGAATAATATGTAACTTCATTTGTTATTTAGTCTCGAATCCATTTTATGATGCAATCTTTTCTATCCTCCATATAACTATAAATACAAATGTACAGCTTAAGTAAATAATTTTTGTCGAAAAGAAAATTTTCTTCACTGAATTCTCTTTTTCTTATACATTAACAAGATTATTGGTAACCTTTTTACTCATAATATTTAATTGGTTTGTAATAAATGAAAAACATGTTAACGGCTCCAAAACACCTAAGACATTGGGGATAATTTATTGACTGCAAAGTCACAAAAACTAAAACAACTTAACAATAATGCTTATAACTTATAAACCAATTTTTATGATTAGACTTACCTTTATGGATAGTAAACATTGCAGTTAATGAACTATCAGCTATGGGTGAAACGAGTATTTATTTCAAAGCTTATCTAACATCAATAGCTTTGTCTTATTCCACATCTACTTTGTAATGCTTTTCTGAATAAATTTTATATTTCCTGGATACTTTTAATATTATTTGTCTTGACAATCTGGAGAGATTAATTTGTTTCAGCAGGTTCAGCTTATTTGTTGATCAACAATTTTAATGTATCAATAAGCAACTTTTCTATAATGGAAACCAAAGTATAAACAATAGTTTCTTTCACATTCAATCGATTTAATTTTAAGGCAATAAAATATATGTTTCCGGTTTTTTTTAGCAAATACAATCCAACTAGCAAAATCGAACAAAGTAAACAATTATCATCATATGATCATACGCATATTCAAGATAAATTGTTGTTTGATGGTAAAGAGCCTAAACTTTCGAAGTCCCATCAAAGTAACAAACATCATGGTCATCATAAGCATCACGGTTATAATCATTTTAGACATAAACAGAGAGAAAAACCGAATCCTGCTCCAACACATTTGAATTCAGAAGAATATAATGACAAATTATGCATCTTACCTGATGCAGTATCTAATTCGTGTGTCCCTTCATCGCCTTGCATAGCATTGAAAAGGGTTAAACAACCCAATAGTTTGAAAAATTGTCATTCGGAAAGCGATTTTACTGCCCCGCTATTAAATTCAGTTGAAACGATTCTTAGAATAATATCTCAGCAGTTATGGAATGATCTTACACAATGGATGAAGATGTTATTATGTAAGTACGAAGCATCTGTGTTTGTTGTTTTAAGCATATTCTCTTTGTATGTCCTCAACCAATATAGATTTGAGAGTTTTAACAGGGGGAGGAGCTGACATAGCTTCGGATCACCACCTATTTGTGACTAAGATGAACTAAGGCTAAAAATGCAGTGGACAACTGGAGAAACATCATTACAAAAGTTCAATATATCCTTCCTTCGACATACTGACAAACTCAACGAATTCAAGACAACTCTCAACAATAGGTTACAAGCCTTACAGGATCTACTCAAACAAGAAAAAAACTACTATGGACGACAACCGGAAAGAGATCAAAGAAGGCAAGCAAATCGGTGAGATTCAAGAACAGAGAAGCAGATGGGTAGAACACTTTGAGGAATTCGTGAATCGACCAGCTCCACTGAATCCACCGAACATCAAAGCAGCACACACAGACTTTCCTATAAATTTCACTCCACCAATGATCGAGGAAGTCAGCGTGACCATCAGACAAATCAAGAGTGGGAAAGCAGCAAGATCTGACAATATACTAACCGAAGAACTGAAGTTAGACTCAGGAGTAACTGCAAACATGCTCCACGTTCTATTTAGGAAGATTTGCGAGAAAGAACAACTGCCACTGACAGACTGGAAAGAAGGATACCTCACCAAGATACAAAGAAAGGAGATCTGAACACGTGCGAGAACTTCGGAGGCATCGCACTACAATCGATAACAAGAAATGTTTCGAACAGAGTGTTGCTGAACCGGACGAAAGATTCAGTAGACGTCCAGCTTCGAGATCAACAGGTCGGATTCCGTAAGGATCGGTTATACACAGACCAAATCGTGACACTACTGATCATTGTTGAACAAAAAATTGAATGGAACTCGTCACTACACATTAACTTCCTCGACTATGAGGAAGGATTTGACAGCGTGTATAAGAAAAAGATCAAAGAACACACTGCTTCGAAAATGGGAAACAGACATCAAAAGAATGAATAACAACTGGAAGCTACTGGAATGGATTGTCCAGTACAGAATTGGCCGGAGAACACCGATGGGTGGCCTATGCTCCTACATGAGAGGTAACCTGAGTAAGTAAGTAAGTAAGTAATAGCTTACAATCCTATTTTGTGGATAATAACTAGATCCAAATCGAAAACTGTCATTATGTTTCTTATTTATTCAAATTTTACTTCAACTGACAAAGTAGCTTTCTTATGATGAATTCTGAAATGTTTATTATTTCGTTGTCAGCTGAGAATACGTTTCCGAACTTAAACAAATATGAAACTAATGGAATTACTCAGAAAGCTTCTCCTCACAGTCCATTTCAATCTCATCGGCTACACGATACCACTTTTTCACGATGCGATTCATCAGTTGGCGATGCACAAAATTCATCGGCTTTACCATCATTTCGACAACTTAAACAAACAAAGCATTCTAATTCAGATACACCAAATTGCCTCAGCGGTCAACACGCTGTACAAACTCATGAGTCAAATATTGAACTTGCCGATCTATTGCAAATTTCAACCAAAACACTACAAACACGTGAAAAGTCGTTAGTTCAGTAAGTCTTATTGAGTAAGATCGTATTGTTATTGTTAAAAGAGACTGATGGCATATTACTATTAACTCAGAAAACGAAATTTCATCTGTTCTCTTAATCATCATATAAGAGGAATATCAACCTCATAGGATAGGTTTAACACATTTGAGTTTCCATAATAAGTGACTGACAGAATCAGCGTGCAATCAAGCAAATTAGTGTGTGCACTCAATCTTCCGTGTTGCTTAGGCAAAAATAAAGATCTAGTTGGTTCTCATCCATGTTAATTAGCTCTTAAGCCTTTTTGCCCATGATATTCCTAAATAGACTTCCTCTATTTTCAGTATGAGGTTGTGAAGATTGTTGAATTTCATTAAAATCATGAAGCGACTAATGTTAGACCACTATTGAAAACCTGGAAACACTGGACAGCCGTTTCGTTTTAGTGAGTTTTATGGAGAAGCCTTGACCACTGGAGTCCAACTTTGTCGGGTATGAGGCAGCTAATCACTGGACACAGTAGAAGATGGTCGCACAATATCGTGGATTGGTTGATGGTAGATGTTAACATAGTCGAATGCCGGCTCAGTTGTCTAGAGTTTAGGCACTTACGTGAGATTGGTGGCCCCAGGTTCGAGTCCCAATCAAGGACATGACGACCATCCAGTGCTCCCAGGTTTCCGACGGCGATTTATCACTGACTGGTCCGTGATTTCAACGAGGTTTCAGCTATGTTAGATAATACAAATTTGGTAACACTGCAAATCATTTTCATCTGTGTTTTTATAGCATGGGGAATTCATTTAGTAATCACTTTAGTATAAGCTGGCAGATTCGCACTACATAAATCTATGTTTGTATTTTTTCATTTGCAAGGTCTCTAAGGATCTTTCTTCCTAAATAGCTTAACAAGCTGTATTAAAGATTTCCCATAAAGAACTTAATTATACTGAAAATAATTGAACCTAGTAACTGGTAAGGCTAAAAATTACATTTGTTGAATTTTGTGGAGTTTAAAAAGCTTTTATCAACAGACTACATGACCTTTGTGTTCATTATTGCAATCTGGTCTGTATATTTTATGTACCACAGCTAATGGCGTTGTGATGTTTTAGTGAGCCATCATCTGTGTTTCATTTTCTATACAGAATTGCTTTGTTAAATATATCATTGTATATGAATAGTAACTTAGCCACTGGATGATTTCTGATATGCTTTTTGCATATTGATACGGTATCACTCCTTTCATTTGCCACCTAGTATATATTTCCTTTTGTTACTTAAATAATATTCCTGATAATTTTCCCTTTTTTATACTCTCTACTTTAGTTGACATTTCACCATGTTATCATACTTAAAATGGTTACATTTTCTTTCTCTATTATACTTACACGCGTCGTTTTATGATTCTGCTCCTTGTGCTTTTTGTTTTTTTATTTAAAATTTATCTCTGACGCTGAAACAGGATTTCCCTTTATTTTTGTTTGTCATTTTCGTTAATCTGGTCCTATCATTTATCTGATAGCAGCAGTGTTAGTCCATACGAACATGACACTAACCTCACTAATATGTATATTTTATGAGTTTGGTGTTTTGTTAGTGACTTCATCTCCAATGTCATTTAAACGCTGTAACTTGCTTCACATTGTCATACTTTTACAGTTTGCCAATAACAATGACTAAAATGAAGTCATTAGATTGTGTGGCTTTATGTACTTTTAAGAAATTATTGTCATATAATTTCTTTTAGGTAAGGGAACATTTTTATCTTTCAAAGAAAGAAAAAAATAAACACTCTGTAGTTAAAGTTTGTTCCAGGATGAGATAAATAATTTTTTCCAATCCATAAATATATAAAAATAAGTACTAGAGTTGCATCTGCATTAAGTCTTCACTTAGGAAACTACATGATTTTTCAATGGCATGTTTTGGTTAATAATTAGTGTTGCGGCTTTGAATAACACTGAAGTCAAGGAATTTAGTCCTGAATTCCAGTAAATTTAGAAATAAGTACTTAGTGTTGTTCAATCTACAGTGCAGTGGTAGGCAAATGGTTGTTATTTATTTTTTGATTACTGAATGGCAGTTAAGAATCTCGTTACACTAATTTAGATATGAGCAGCAAAATGCTATCATCACTAGCTTCCAAACATAAAAGTGCGATCCAATATTCAGTGCATAAACCTGTGTTCATTTGCTAAGCACAAAACGTTTTTCACTTCCTACAAATTTATTTCGGTTGATTTAACTCATAAATACTGTTTTGTGAGACTGCAGGTTAGATACGCAGCGTTTATATCGATCGATTTGGTGACACGTAAACACGTACGAACGACCTAGAGTCTCGATTGGCCCTGCCACGCTGTCTATCCTAGCCAGTTGAGTCCAGAACGCGTCAGAGCCTCTGAGATATGAATCATTATATTTCAAACACACTATGTTTATATACTAACCAAGCAGACCACATCGTACCATAAAAATAGAAAACGACATTTACATAATATTAAACAAGTGGAGCAAATATCGACCAATAGGGAATGTACACTTAGCGTCTAAGGACAACATTAGACTTAACATGATAACTATTGGTATATTTTTCTGCACATCCTAACATAAAATGTTTCAGAAGTATCAACATTCTAAAAATGTTTTAACCATAAATTTTATCGTTTAATGGATCATTTTTTCTGTTCAATGTTTTGAATTATCAGTGTTTTTAATGGAATAAAGAAATTTATCTTAATTATAATACAGTTTGAGTAGATTTTGTTGTTTAACAGTCTGGTTTTTTGATTAATTTCACTACTTCTTTTCAGGGAAAATATTGATCCTTTTACTAAAATACAGTACACTGGAAGTAACACAATTTTGAAAGACTCTACAAATAATCATTCAATATCTTCTGTATGTGGTTCACAGTTGACATCAGTGACTATGACAACCATTACTACAGCATTATCTCGTATAAGTCCCCAATCTATTGGAACTATTTCTATCAACAGGCCAATATCCAGTTTAAACAATAAATTTACAACCAATGTTCCACGTAAAGTTATCCTTACGTGTAATAGTTCTGTGCCTGAAATATCTCATCATAGCAGAACCAGTGGAGTTGCTGTATTTGGTGTTGCCGCTAACATATACCATAATGAAAAACTTGCTCCATTAGATAGATTACGTACACCTCTACCACCACAATACCCTTCTATATCGGAGGAACCATCGTTTAACACAGTATCATCAACAACCGCAAACATACATTTTACAAATACAGAGATTTCTCTTAACTCTACCTGTTCGACAAGTTTAGCAAAATGTCATAATTTAAATGTTAGTCAGTTGCTATCCCCGGTAACAGTAAGCAATGCCTTAACTTCACTCCCACTAGTAATAACAACAACAATACTGCACACTACACCTAATTCAATAAACAACAGTAGCCGAATTCTGACGGTGAATACAACCAGTATGATGAATGAAACTACAAGTCCAGGGGATTTCACGTTACCCCCGTTGTCTAATCCAATAAACATTTTATCAACCGTCACCACAACTATATGTTTTCCTCCATCCAATTCTTTAAATATAGAATCAAGCCTGCAAAATCCAAAGATTAATTTATTTACAAATAATAAAACTGGATTTGGAATATATCAAGGTAGTGAACAAAATAACCGGCATACAACACATTTACATAAAAAAATATGTGAGAATTTAGTTGGGAAACAGAATAACAATAGCAATACTCTTGGGAACACATCTATTTTTACACAAAGAATTCCATCGAAATTATCTATGCATTGGAATCAAAATTCTCCAAAGCAAGTAAGTTAAAATCTGTGAGGTGTAATTAAAATTAATTTTTTGTATTTTGTTGAATAATTTTAAAAATATATGACTATTTCCCATAATGTCTACTTCTGTCTATGTGTGTCACCAGAAGCACCAATTATTCCTTTTTTTAATAACTATGGAAACCATAGTAATTTAGCTTGAAATCACTTGTAATAATTGTTTAACTAATTCACTGCTAAGAACAAATACACGAAATGTCAAAATAAATGTCATATGTGGGTTCACACAACTTGCAATAAACGAGTAGAAAAGACAGTGTTATGTTTAAGAAAATTTCATAACTCATTTGTATGACCAAGTTTATTTTATAAGTTAATTGTAAACAGATTTGCACCGATACCACACTATTAGACAAACAATATAATTGTTAACTCCAGCACCATATAACTCTCCGAGCCACGACATATCAAAAGATAAAGCCCGGTTTGTGACTGAGAAGTATATATTTTAAGGAAAAATACCATTCTATTAAATAAGGGTTTCTTCTCATTGATTGTTAGTTGGATTTTAGTCAGTCAATCATATACAACGTAGAACCTGGTGCTTATGTACTTTAGTTCAAACCTCCATAGCTCATTAGCACAGATATATGTATTTCTCAGGCCAGTAGTAGAGGTTGTAACAGTATCAGTGATGATAGAAAAGATTAGGTATTGAAGGTACAATTTAAAGAAAAGTAAATTATTGAGATGAAAAACTTTTTGTACGGAATTTAGAAACTTGTGATATAAGGGAAGAAAAAATTTGAATTGATTCTCGTCAATGAGAACGATCTTGAGTTGTCGCTCAAAGTCTCTAATCATTAGTGAAATTTAATTAATTAGAACTTAAACAAATATCACACTGAACAAATGTCATACTGAACGAGTACTTATATACCAGAAATTGTCAGAATACAATCTCATGTCACACTGAAATAGTAAATAACTAAAATTGTCAGAATATAATCCAAGCTTATACTGAACAATTATTATACTGAATAAATCAATAATCTCGCTTTTGATTGCTTCCCATTACTTACATAATAGTACAGCGATAAATGGTGTCTTAGTTGAATTTTATCGAACATTTAGTATACATTTTATTGCCTGTTATATTTCAATTTAATTATCCAACCCCTTAATATTACGGTACTCACGTATTCTGTCTTTTATGAAAAAGTTATCTAAATGGAGGCGATATCTATTCTCATATCACCTCTTAAGGATACGATCCTATATTCGATACTGGTATTCGTTGAAAATTTTCAGTTTTGTTTTATATTATTTCGTTCCTATATTTAAGAAAAACAAAAGCTTGGTCTTTATTTCCGGGAGATTGAGTAGCAACGTACTAAGGTTCGCATACAGTTTATGATTGTATAGAAGAAAGTAAACGATTGTTTTTGATTACACTAACCATCAACATTCATTTTAGGATTGGTTGTTTGAATTGGATTGATCTTTAAGTCTGCAATTGATCAGTCTGTTATTGGCTTATGCGCATCCTGTGTGGATTGCCTCGATATTACCTTAAGTCACAAGCATTATAAACAAAGGTAATTAATGGATAGCAGTGGAATCTAGGTGGCACGTTTCGTTCTACCTTGGGCTCATCGGATGTATGTACCTGCAACTAATACAAAAAAATGAATTAAACTTCACTTCAGTGCACAAGTTAGTGGCTGTTTGAACTCTTGATAAGAAGATAACACGATGGCGTTGGCAGCAAATGGTACTGGGTTCGAGTGTTAGTGTAAACATTAACTCTGGGGCGTAGGTACACCCAGCTGACGAGTCCCGAATAGGACGAAACAAGCGTCCTGGATTCCACTACTAGCCAACATCCATCTCTTCTTAAAACCATCAACATTGTCTTGTGGTGTTTGCTAATTCACATGATGGCTTGACATTCTGAGATCAATATATTCAAAGGAAAATCCTTTAAGTTTTTAACATTTATTTGCATGAAAAGATTTAACAAAACCTAAAATTTCATTCCTCATTTCTTCTATTTATGATGAGACTAAAATCATTAGACATACGGATGAGACTAACCACATTTTCCACCATTCAAGAATTTGATACCATCATCGTTCATTCCGGTTGTATTGCTATGGCTTTAAAGTATGGTTATTAAATAAATTTATTCAACGATCTTGTGTATGAGGAAACTAAAAATTTGAATATCCAGTAAGTTACTAATTAACTGCAGTGTGATGGCGGTCTGGATACTCTGTTAACATGGTTACTTACTTACTTACGCCTGCTACTCCCAATCGAGCATAGGCCGCCGGTCAGCATTCTCCAACCCACTCTGTCCTGGGCCTTCCTTTCTCGTTCCATCCAATTCTTGTTCATCTTTCTCATGTCTATTTCCATTTCCCGGCGTAACGTGTTCTTTGGTCTTCCTCTTTTCCTTTGGCCTTGAGGATTCCGTGTGAGTGCCTGTCTTGTGACGCAGTTGGGTGCTTTCCTCAATGTGTGTCCTCTCCACTTCCAGCGCTTCTTCCTGATTTCTTCCTCCACTGAGATCTGGTTTGTTCTCTCCCACAGTACGTTGTTGCTAATAGTGTCCGGCCAACGGATCCGAGGTATTTTGCGTAGACAACTGTCTTGACATTTGTATTGAAAATTCTGACCTTGGTGTTGGTTAACAGTTGCTTTGAGTTCCAGATGTTCCTCAATTGTAAATATGCTGATCTTGCTTTGCCGATCCGCGCCTTCACATCTGCATCAGATCCACCCTGTTCATCAATGATGCTGCCCAAATATGTAAAGGTTTTTACATCTTCCAAATATTCTCCGTCAATTGTGAATGGATTGGTGCATGCTGTGTTGTATTGGAGAATCTTGCTTTTCCCTTTGTGTATATTGAGATCTACCGCTGCTACACTGGTCGTCTTCTCCTGCATTTGTTGTTGCGTTTGGGATAGAAGGGCCAGATCATCTGCGAAGTCTAGATCATCCGATTGCATCCTAGATATCCACTGTATCCCGCGTTTCCCTTCAGATGTTGACGTCTTCATGACCCAGTCGGTCACCAGGAGAAAGAAAAAGGGTGAGAGTAAGCAACATTGCCTGACACCGGTCTTTACCTCGAACGAGTTTGTCAACTGTCCTCCATGCATAATTTTGCAGTGTAATTCATCATAGGAATTTCGTATGATATTGACTATCTTCTGAGGCATGCCGTAGTATCGAAGAAGTTTCCATACTGTTGTTCTGTCCACGCAATCAAATGCTTTTTCGTAGTCAATGAAGTTGATGTAGAGTGATGAGTTCCATTCAATTGATTGTTCCACAATGATCCTTAGAGTTGCTATTTGGTCTGTACATGATCTATCCTTACAGAATCCTGCCTGTTGGTCGCGAAGTTGGGTGTCTACGCAGTCCTTCATTCTGTTTAACAATACCCTGTTGAAGGCTTTTCCCGGTATTGAGAGAAGAGTGATGCCCCTGTAGTTATCACAGTTGCTGAGATCGCCTTTCTTTGGTATTTTGATCAGGAGTCCTTCTTTCCAGTCTGTTGGTACTTGTTCCTCATCCCAAATCTTATTGAAGAGAATGTGGATTATCCTTGCAGTTACCACTACGTCTGCTTTTAGTGCCTCTGCTGGAATGTTGTCTGGTCCTGCTGCTTTGCCACTCTTGATTTGTCTGATGGCCATGCTTATCTCTTCAATTGTTGGTGGGCCAACATCGATTGTGAGGTCCGTGGGTGCTGCTTCGATGTTGGGTGGGTTCAGTGAAGCTGGTCGATTCAAGAGTTCTTTGAAGTGTTCTACCCACCTGTTTTGTTGCTCTTCAATGTTGGTGATTACCTCGCCTTCCTTGCTTTTCACTGGTCGTTCTGGTTTGCGACGATTTCCAGATAGTATCTTTGTTATGTCATACAGCTGTCTCATGTTCCCTTCTCTTGCAGCCTTTTCCGCCGTCATTGCTAGACCTTCCACGTATTTACGTTTTTCGATTCTGATGTTCCTCTTCACTTGTTTGTTTACTTCTGTGTATTCAGCTTGTGCCTTGGTCTTTTCTGCTCTTGTTCGACTGGTATTGATTGCTGCCTTCTTGTTTCTTCTTTCTTGAATCTTATCCAGTGTACCAACAGTGATGCATTCCTTGTGATGGTGCTTCTTGTGACCCAGGACCTCATGACATATTGAAGTGATTGCTTCTTCGATCCCCTTCCAGTTGCTCTCCATAGTAGTTCCTTCTCCATTGAGTAGATCATGAAAGGCCTGGAACTTATTGCTGAGGACTATCTTGAATTTGTTGAGTTTGTTATTGTCCCGAAGAAAGGCCGTATTGAACTTTTGTGATATTGTCCGCCTCGTTGTCCAGTGCTTCTTGAGTTTCAATTTCATCTTGGCGACCAGCAAGTGATGATCTGATGCTATATCAGCTCCTCACTTGGTTCTCACGTCTTCCATCGTCCTCCTGAACTTTTTGCTGATGCAGATATGGTCGATTTGCTTTTGTGTAGTGTGATCCGGTGAAGTCCATGTGGTTTTGTGTATGCGTTTATGTGGGAATATGGTGCCGCCTATGACCAGTTTATTGAAGGCACATAGGTTTGCAAATCTCTCACCATTTTCGTTCTGTTGTGACGTGAGACTGCAGATTAGAGTGAAGCGTTTTATCGATCGCTTCAGTGACACGGAAAACACGTACGGACGGCCTAGAGTCTCTATTAGTCCCGCTTCCCTGTCTAGCCCAGCCAGTTGAGTTCAGAACACAAGTCTCAGCCTCTGAGTTATGAATCATTATATTTCAGACATACTCTATTTATATACCAACCAACCAGACCACATCGTACCATAAAATAGGAAACAACATTTGTATAATATTTGACAAGTGAAATAAATATCGACCAATAGGAAATGCCCATTTAAAGTTCAAGGACACTATTAGACTTAACATGATAATTATTGGTATACTCCTCTGCATCCCTAACACGTTCCTTTCTTCCAGTCTGTGTCGTCCCATGATGTCTTCATATCCAGTGTTGTCCGTTCCAACCTTGGTCAGGTCCTTTGTTGGGCACTTCTCGGTGATTGACTGCAGCCTATCGTAGAATTGATCTTTAGCGTCTTCATTGTAGTCGTTGGTAAACGCATAGCATTGGATAACTTTCATTGTAATGCCCTCTTTCTTCGTTTTGAATGAGGCTTTGATGATCCTTGGTCCATGAGATTCCCATCCTATAAGTGTATTTTGTGCTTGTTTGGACAGCATCAATGCAACTCCTTGTGTATGTGGGGCATTTACTTTTTCATGGCCGGAGTATAACAGAAGCTCTCCTGAAGTTAGTCGTTCTTGTCCAACTTGCGTCCAACGTGTTTCACTGATCCCAAGCACCTCTAGGTTGTATCTCCTCATTTCTGCAGCAATTTGGAAGGCTCTCCCGGTGTCCCACATTGTACGAACATTCCATGTACCTAAATAAATGGTCGCTCTGGTTGTCAGAAGGGACATCGGCCTCGTAAGTTCCGAAGGAATTCGGCTTTCATTATGAGGCTTCATAGTTCTTCTAAATGAAGACCTTCTGACTCCCAGGGCAGAGTTTAAATGGTTTGGATTAATTTTTCTGGTTAGCGTTTTTTTAGCGAGTTAGTTTTCTACGGGATGGGGACGCTAACCCCATGCTCAACCCTCCTCCTTTATCCGGGCTTGCGACCGGCAGTAGCCCCCGGAGGCACTGCAGGCGGAGTTCTGTTAACATGGTGTACAACCAAAAATTCCTTTTTTTTTTCAACTGAATCATCATCCAATCCCAGGTGACTACTTTTGGTTTCTTGCTAAGTAGAGCTTTTTAACATTTCATTGTTTGAATATTGCCATTATTTATACTTTACAATCCAAACCCAAACTTCTCGTGAATAATAAAAAAGTATAGAGTTTCGAATGAAAATTTATATGGGAACAAAATTTTGTTGACGAAAATAATAAACCATATTGTTCACTGTTTCTACTCTTCTTATCATTATTGTTTTTCATAGAACTCGAGAAAATATAGTTGCACTGGACTCGTAAATTGGACAAAAATTTCTTCAAAGAGACTTCTACTTTAAAGAGTGTAATTAACCAGGCTTTTTATTCTTAAATCTTCCTAAACATTAAAAAAACTGCATAATTTTTTATCATATTTCTTTTTGTTTCGTTCAGGCTTCATTTCCTTTGCCACCTATTGATATATTTAAAGACCGATTTGGAAGAAAACAAAAACTATGGCGACCATACAGTTCAAGACCGTTATTATTAAATAAATCAATTACAAATCCTTCTAGTATGTTGACAAGAGCTTGCTCAACATTGTTAATTCAAAACCCTGAAATTTATAATGATTCATGCTCAATAAAAATAAGTAGGTTATGCTTCAACTGTGTTTGCGCTTATATTTTGAATAAATGAATAGCATAAAATTGCCTAAAGACTCAACAACAGTCGTTAGAATACAGTCCTATGAATGATAATGCAGCCTTCTGACTGACAAAAAAGTGATCATTATTGATCATGAGAAAATTTCGGTAGTTAGAAACAAGTGATACTTTTCTCATTTAGGTTCTTTTTAGTGGATGCACATTACGTGATTTTTTTTAACTGATATCTGTCTGAACACAATAATGTTGAATACTATTGACACTCGTGACTAAGGTTCGGCAGTTTAGGCCGGTTGAAATCGCTCCTTAAAACATTTGTACACAGCCTTCCGAATAATCATCAGTGAACACGATCATAATGAGAACTAAACCGCATGTTTGAAAAAAAGATCAAATTTTTAAACCTTTACTAACTTTAATATCCTAATCTACACAGCAACAATCTATCTCAAACAATTGATGTCATTGTGTATTTTCAACGATCTCTTCAGACAATGTCTGAACTGTAACTTTTTATTATTTTCTTCATAGAACCTAATTTAGTTTCACCCATACCACTGGTCCAACGTGAACATTTATATGCAGTATTTACTGTTGTTTTATTACTTTCTTCCAGTTACTTTTTTCTTCCCTTTCTGTCTCTAATAAGGTCCAGCAATTTTTATTGGCTCTACAACTAATCCCATAAGAGGTCATGATGCAGTTACACGTTGATGATTACATCCAAATTATTAATAACATGAAGTTAAGCAGAAATGTGTTCGTGAGTGATCGCGCCAAGCAAAGGATATCTTCATCTTTAGGCGTTTCAAGAAAGGAGACTATAAAACAGTTTTACGTTTGCTGCAGGTAGATAGAAAGAATAATCTTTATGAACCTTTATATATATAATGTACATTTTCGTATATGTATATCCATGTATTACTAATCACATTTATTATTCTGCAACTGACCATGTATTTGAGTTTAGCTGTAAATAAGAAATCAACGTATTTAAATCATTTATGAACCGAGAAAACTAATTAAATATGTATTTTTTTAAACTTGTTTAAACTCATTTGTGTCAAGACATGTATATATTAAAATATATATTGTCTTTAATAATTATGTAATTATGCAGTCAGTTGATTACATTTAATGGTGAAATTAGAGAGCAACTGACTACAGATTGGTTCTCATAATCAGCACCTAATATTAACCAGTAACGACTAATGAAAGTAGACAACGATAACTATAATATGCCATAGCGTTCGGTAGAACGACACATATAAGAGAACAGTATTGTTTATGATTATTTTTTTGCCAGGTTTTGTTTACTCTGATATAAAATAATATGTTTATCCATATATTTAAAAAATATTAAACCAGTTTAAGCGATTGGTGAGTTATTGATTACAACTAAATAGATTACATAACCATTCGTAATAAATAGGAAGTATGCACTGATAGTAAGATAACATGGGCGTCTGTAGTGATCAAAACAATAAGAATAATAATTTTAGCAGAGGAAGTATGTTGAAACTTTAAAAAATCGTGTGATAAAAAGTGTATGAATAATCAGATCAAATACTTAGGTAGTGAATATCAGATGAGAAAGAGATCAAGAGAAACAAGGGTTGATGTAAAAAAACCCAGTTTAGTCGCCTACTAGACGTTTTCTAACCATAGAGTAGATAACGTCATCGCAAGTCTTTTCGATACAAAGATTAGAGTTGCTAGCTTGGATACTCATAGTCTCTCCTGAAGGTAAAAGACGAGGTCGCATCCTATTAGGAAGACTTGGGGGTATACTATGAATCCCTTTGAATACTTTGGTTTTATCGAGCTTATGACCACCATCTATCAAATGTGACAGAAAAGTACTGCGTATAGATTTTGTCTGACTGTTTGCAATGAGAGATGCTAGCCAACCTCCTGGCCAATTCGACTGTTAGTGTGGCCATATGACTTTCTCAAAATGACTGGCTGAACTCATAAATACATATTGAAACGATAAGACTAGGTAACATATTCTTCAGTCAAGGAACTGGTAAACGACAAATAGATATTATGTGCACACGATGTCTTTTTCACAGCCCTGCTTAATTTATCATATCAGACATCACTAGCTATATTGTCGTTGAACTATAGCTTCAGGAAGAAAGGTTTTTTACAAACAGTCCATGGATTTTACTTCCCCGTAATTGTTGATATATGCTTATTCATAAGACTCTGTGAGTCACCTATTCCAATCAACAAATTATCTATAACCGCAGTTCTTTATTTTTAGCGTCGTGTGAGCATATGCTCTGTTTGAAAGGCATTTAATTTAGTTTCTATTGTAATGTATAGGTAAGAAGTTAAAAACCACTGTGTACCAACACTTAATTAAACGTTAACTATGAGCGCCGCTACTGACAAACTCATTTTCTTTTCAGTTTAACAAGACGTAGAAGAAGTGCTATTTACTGTCAAGTTCCTCACGAGTAAACATGTTTATCGAGTGAACACTGTGAATTTACCCTACTATTTATCATCGGATACTCTAACAGACGTTGATCAATATATAGTCCAACCTACCAACAATCTCCTTAAGAGATTCATCTTTTAATTTTGCAAGAAAAAGCCAAGTAAGATAGAGCCTAAAGGTGATCCTATATCTATACTACCAACTTGTCTTTCACAAATTGTTTTAGAAGGAATGAACGTATATTGTGTATCTTTAATGTAATTATTTGAAGCTAGCCTTCGAAATGCTAATATTGGTTTTCCTGATAGCCGCTAAAACACAATCGACTATCTCAATTATTAATAAGAAACTGTTCGTAAATTTATCATGTTATACAATGCAGTCGTTGAGTTTGCAGTAATACTAGGAGCTAAGTGACTCAACACTACAATTTACCTTATTTTGTTCAAAATTAATATGTCCAAACTATATGTCCCTGCTATACGTGGAAAACACGATTTGGTTCTCCGATTTTTTCTGCCCCTAATTCATAAGACCTTTGAATCCATAACTAAAAGTGATTGGTTTTTGTCTTTTTACCTTTATATATCAATATACTATACTTAAACCGATAAATAATATTGCTAGAAATTATAGATATGCGGAGGTTGATATTTTAGGTCGCTATTTCGAATTTTTTTGAAGATGGACTAGAGATTGATTTGCATTTATGCTTTCATATATCATTCGTTCAGAGCTTTCAGCAATATTTGAGCTGGTACTTGGATTGTTTTTCTGGAAATTCCTGAAGTAGTATTTTCATGGGGCAGTTTGAGTTGATCGGTGAAGTAATGTATATTTTTTTTAAATATTTTACAACCTGTATCTTTCAGACTGATTACTGCAGTTACTGTTTGAATTTATACTTTTTTATCGTTTACTAATAGTTTTTACTGATACTTAACAATATTTTCTATAAATCAACAAGTTGCTTGTTACCTGCATTAAACGATAGTTTGTATCTTAGTTGAAAACAATGTTTGTACCAATAAAAACTATTCAGTTAATACGTTTATCATATTTTTTTATTCCCATTACTTGTTATGATCTTCATCTGCTTTAATATTAAATTATTTAAAGAACTACTTTAATATACCTGTTTTAATTTTAATTCATTTGTACTGGTTGTACAAATCTTCCCAATGATGTTTATTTAGGACGACAAATGATCAGTCTCTTTTTGGTGTATGTGCATCCAGCACGGATTGCCGCGGTATTTCCATTAAGTCACAATCATTTACAAAGGAGATTTTTCTTAATTTACAAGGGTCAAATGAAGTTGAAATTATTAGCAGACTAATCTGTTAATTACCTTCGTGTCATTAACCGGACTATGTATAAATAAATATCAAGTGGTCCTGAATATTACACCATAAGGGGTTGAACATGTTGATTATTCTATAATAACATTTTCCAGAGTTTAACACGAACTGAATGACTTCATCGAGATGCTAAATCAAATTCACTCGATCACGTAGAATAATTTAAAGAGAATGTTTTTCGAAGAAAATCCGGGCATATAGTTCCGTTAACAACTTCTGAAATTTTTATTATAAGAGCGCAAAATGTGTAAGCTACTGTTTACGTGTTGTTGCTTGATAAGATGAATGTAAAGTGTATTTTATACTTCCGTTTTAAAAGTACCTTTACAATAAGGAATTTTAAAACTTATTTTTATACCATATTTTATTCAGTATGTTCTCCTAATCATTTTTCGATCTTTACTGTATGCAAATAGAACTGTATCAATAAGTTTCACTATAGCGTTGATTTGAATATAAGTCGAGGCAACAATTCATTCAGCTGTTTCATTTACATAAATAGTTCCGATAATTTATACTTTGGCTGCTTTTTGAAATTTTATATTATAAGTAGACTAGATAAAGTGATAAGTCACATTAGTATAGTTTTCCTAATCTTGAACCAGAGGCTTCAAAATCAGTCAATCGTCTATATAGTAGGATCAGACATATATATTAATCTGTTCGAGTTGCCATACCTCATTAGCATAACAAGATGAACACCAAATTCGTTAGAGAAGTTACTTCAATGGTATTGATGTATAAAAGAAAGATCGTGTATAACGATATAAAACAGGAAGAAAGAATTAGAAAGAAAGGTATAAAGTTATTTTGATTTCACGATTTAAGGGTAGACAAAGAGTTTATACACCTACGTCTTTCCGATCGATTCTAAGCCATGTCACCCAGGACCCCCAAGCACTGGTTGCAACAGTCGCGTGGACCCCAACCAAGTAGTCTGCATCTACCAACATGTCTCATATTAGAAGTTGATGACTTTATGGACTGATGCTATGCTTTGGTTTGACCGCCCCTAACTTTCTTCCATCCGTCTCCAACACTAGTCAGCATTGCGCGTCTTGATAGTTGGTGGTTGAACATGCGCAATACGTGGCCCAACCATCTCAGTCTATATAGATTCACAACCTCATCAACTGATTTACCACCATTCCCTAATAGCCTGAGTCCAACCTCACTATTACTTACTCGGTGATCCCAGCAGATGCAAGCAATATTTTTAAGAAATCTGTGATCAAATACTAGTAGCTTACGAGTATCTTCTCTTAATGGCCAGGTTTCGCAGCCGTAAATTAAAACAGAACGGACTGCCGTGCAGTATACTCTTTTTTTATTGATAGACGGATATTTTGCCTTCTCCATAGGTGACGTAAGTTGGCAAAAGCCAAACAAGCCTTTTGGGATTTCGTCTGACATAGGAATTTTTCTCCGAACAGATCTGTTAGCGGTTCACTGACGATTTTGATTATATTCAAAACGTAATAAAAGTTTGCATCTATGCATGGATACATTGTTTTAATTGGTTTAGAAACTGAACACGTTTTCCTTTCGATTCATTCAAAAATCATTTTTCCTGACATTTAGTTTCTCACAAAAGAGGACAGACTAGGGAAACCTTAGATAATCATTACTTTAACCTACTTGCTTTTGAAGTGTATACGCAAAATGTGTATACGTTTTGAACCTTATTATGACATACAGATTAGTGAGTTAAATTATCACCATTTAATTGGTGATTTATTATCATTGTTTAAATCTTCAAATTAGAATTAAGCCATGAGTAGGAACTAATAACTTATCATAAACTTATCCACGCAAACTGTCTTGTTTTAAACGTGCGAATAAATAATTCCTACTTCACTCAAATTTTCTTGTTGGTTGTACTTCGCTGTGCTGATTTCACATTTGGTAGGCTAAGCCTGCATTCGAATGTATTATGTCTCACGAACAAATTCCTATTTATATGTGTTGTCCGAAAAATCATTGATATTGATATGAGCTTTCCTAACTGTTAAGACCAACCGAAACCTCAAGAAAAATTTTTATTTCCTGTATGTTATCATGAAAATTTTACCGTGTTTCGCCTATCCTCGTGTCACATAACAAACAATTATTTTTCGTTGCACTACAGATAAAGTTATTTAATAGGATAGAATTTTCGCCTCACCAATTAAAGTTTTGG